TCGCACACACACACACACACACACAACTGCACACACACTTAAATTCACAGCGTGGTGTGATTTTAATTGAATCAAGCTAAAGGAGCGAAAACGCAGCATCCGCAGCAGCAGAAACCCACTGTGGAAACGTTAATAAAGCTGTAAACATATCAATTACTGACATTTCAATGCGTTTGCCATGGCCCAATTATGCGACTAATATGGAGCTCTATCTCTCCCTCTCACTCTAACTCTCTTGATCCCACTCTCCATCTCTATCGGTAGCTTTTCTCTCGTGATCTTCCGCTCCCCATTTGCTATTGTTTCCATTTCAATGAAGAAAAACAAATTCCACCGCCGCAATGACAACTTGAAGATTTATCTATGGCTGCATTGACAGCTATACGAAGAGGCAGACGTCAAACTCTCAAACCAATCTTGTCTCTAGAGGGTTGCGAGAGAGAGAGAGAGATAGAGAGAGAGAGGGGCTAAAGGGGCGTGCCTACTGTTGCCCAGCTGGCATCTTTCTCTCTCTCGCTCTCCCTCGCTCTCTCACTCACTCTCTTGCAGTCTTTCTCTTTGCCCCACTCGCTGAGTCACTTTTTCTTTCTCAACTTGTCGCCTGCCATTTTATCAAACGAATCTGTGGCATTTCATTTGCTTCTGCAGCCCACACATCTGCCGGCGACTGCGGCGACACACACACACACACGCACGCACACAGACACACACGATAGTTGCAACTGCAACTTTAAAAGTCGTCAATGAGAAGTCCACAGATATTTTATCTATGAGTTGTGTCTAGCTGTTGTACCCTGTACTCATTGAAAGCGGGTGGTAAAAGCGAGCAGCAGGCATCTTATGATTTATTTTATATATAAATCTGATCATGCTTTTCAATACTTTAGAAGTATCGATACATATCGATTACCATTGATATCTTGCCTAGTTTCACAATATATCACTTCCCTTCATTTGAAACTTCTCCAGGTGAAGTACAGTAAAAACTCTCTCAGGTGGACAGCGACCATCACGTAATGCTTGTACGCTCACGGGCAGTGTCCGCCTTTAAGAGGGGAAATGGTGCGGTCTTCATAAAGATTTAAGAGAAAATATTCAGTCCAAGGGGGTATACGCCTAATAGAAGTGTTCGTTAGGCGAGTTTTGACTGTAGTTTTAATTACAAATAGCAAATAAACTTATGCGTTAATCAAGAATACATTTAACCCAATCCCAAAGATAGCATAGAAAACAGTACGAATATCTAATACTACAATTACGGGCTGTGTACAGGGTATGTGCAAGTCGTGCACTCACGACTAAAGCACACATGTGTATTGTTTGTTATTGGACTTTCGTTTGCGGCCTGAGAGTTGCGTCGTCTTCTACGTTTGTCATTGTCGTTGTCTTTCCTGAAAGTGAATCTCAAATATTTCTTGATTATGTGCAACGATGCGGCAGCCACCGCATGGCTCTCCGATTGGCTGGCTAACTGGCTGCTCCATCTCCATCTCCGACTCCATCTCCATCTCCGACTCCAACTGCAACTGCCATCCAAGGCGAAGGCAACCACAGAATTCGCATATCGCATGCGCGATTCAATGCAATGTAACAAGGTCATGTGAGAGAGTTGCCCACTAACAATGTCGTTTGTGGATGTGCTGTCCCCCCCTCTTTGCTCTACCCTCTACCCTACCCTAAACGAACACCCAACTCCTCATATCTCCAGCATCTTTTGGCTCATTTGCTGTTTTGGCTCTGACTTTGGTTTTTTTTTTTTTCTTCATTTTATATTGTTTTTATTTTTATTTGTGTTGCCAACGCATTTCACTTTCTACTGCATTTCGAATGCATTTTTTGTTGTTTCGTTTTTGTTTTGCGACAAGTGGGCCGAAATCATCGACAACGCTTTGGCTTTTCTTCTTGACGCTTTTCACTTTCATTAGCGCATTTCGGCATTTCCTTTTACCAATATGCCTTTTGCGCACTTTTAACTGACCGTGAAATAACATATTCATTCCCCATATGCCACTTGACACTCCGTAGCTGTTGCACTTCACACTTCACACTTGGCATCGCCAACATCGTTTCCACTCTTATATCACGCGACTTGGAGAGTCTTCTGTCAACTTCTTGATTTCCCAGTTTTGTGTGCCAGTGCGAACATCTATCTGTCTGTTTGTCTCTCTGTCTCTCTGTCTGTCTGTCTGTCTGCCTGTCTGTTTGTTTGTTTGTGCTCAGGCAGCCAAAAAGTTGCGCTTTGATTTGTTGCTTTTCTTATTTCTATAGCTGACAGCGCTCTCGAGTAGTTTCCGCGTTCTGCTGCAGTCAGCAAACGGATTGAATTACATTTGAAATGTACGCAAACCAGACTTCAGATATGGGAATATGTTGGCTAAAATGTGGCTGACTGTGAAAGCCGAGAACCATTATACAATACGAAACGGGTGTGAAAAGTTAATATATGCATGACAGAGATTGCAAGGCAGAGTGCATTTTAAAGGTAAAACGCTCGGCTTTAATTTAAATAATATATGACAATGATAAAGATTACCTTCGGCCAATACATTATTTATATTCGGGATTCGAACTCGTAACCCTTACTTGGACAACTTTCCTGTGAAGTAGAAGTAAAAAATATAGATGAAGATTATATTATTTAATTTTTTCTTGACACGACAAGGCTTTGAATATATATATAACAAATTCTTAAATGTTTAAACGTTATAAATTATTAAATAGGTATCTATTTTTCTCTTTTTGTTGAAACTGTTTTTAAGCGTCAATTTTCATGAGGGACAGGGGCTATTAACCTGTCGTCAAAAACCAATCAATTGTAAAACCTCTTGAGCTGTCAAATGCCTCACGCTTGATTTTCCCACACACACGCACCTTACACTTATCTGCAACGCCTACGAATTTTGTTGCTTTTTCGCCCGCCTGTGTCAAATGGCATCGTTTAAAAATATATAAATAAAATATGAGAATTGTTGCCGAAAGCTGTTTAAATTTGTTTTTGATATATTGTCTGCCCCTCCGCCTGGTCAGTGCATCCTCCCACCAAACTGTGCAAGTTGGCTGGGAAAGGGACCCAATTACCGCCCGAAGATGTTGACGTTGCGACGTCGTCAATTGGCCATTACAAGTTGGCAACCAACTTTGGCCAATTGCTGCTTGACCGCTGGCTTTGGCAGCGGCGATTGTGCCCATTTCCGACTTCAACTTGCGCACAAAAAAAAAAAAAAAACAAAAAAAAAACTAACTAAAGCGAGAGTGCTAAGAGTTAGAGTGAAAGGGTAGCCGTTGAGAGGCGAGCTAGAGCAGGAGAGAAATAGTTGTTGCTTTGGTGTTGCCAAAGTAAATCGACGTTCATTTGTTTTTTTTCAGCGCGTTGTCTTCGTGCAAAATTTCGCTGAGATTTCAGTTTTATTGCCCATTTTAACCATGGGTATTACAACTATTTCTTCAGTTTCCGATTTAACAGATAAATTTAATTTTAAGTATGTTGAAAGTTTTATTAGATTGTGCATATATTCCATTCATTTGTTTATCACCTAAACAAACTAGATATAATATAAAATGTTGTCTTCAATATGCGTAGATACACTTGTGTCTTTTATTAGGGTTAGGAACTTGAGTAACACATGGTACTTATATGAGAAAATCTTGTAATTTAACTGCAGCTTCCTTAGGGGAGGCAAAATAGAAGGTCACAGTTTGCATAAAGAACAGCACAAACAACGCAGCTTACTTTGCCTTGTAAACTTCACATCATGAAACTACTTTTTTCAGAGCTGGATTAAGCGGCAGGTTGCTGGTTGCTGGTTCAAATTCAAAGGCAACTTTCAAGCAAACCATTTTGATAAATCCCATCATTTGCCACACAACTCAGTTGAGTTCTATTTCACAAACTTTTAACTCGAAAAGGCTTCACACCAAGCAAAGGCTGGCTTCTTAGAGTATTCAAGCGTCGTTGATACATTGTTATTTTCCCATCGATATTTTTTGCTTTTACAAATTGACTGTAAATGATATTTTCACAACTCGCATCGATCGCTGGCCCCGATGCAGTTGCTTGCCCCGCCCCGCCCCGCTGCCGACAGCCCTGGCTAGGATCGACAAGTGAGAGAGTTCGCCGAGGTTAATACGGCCAATAAATTGTTATTGGCGAGTTGTTGCTGATTTCGGGCTCGCTGATGCTTTATGGGCCATATTTTTGGGCATGTTTTTGGGGTCGATTTTCTGTTAGTTTTTTTTTTGTTTTTTTTTTTTCTGTTGGCCTAACGGCTAACAACGAAAGAAATATTGAAATTTGCGGCCAAATTGTTTTCAATTTAATCGACTTGCCGGCATTATTCATGCCGGAGTGCAAATATAATTAATGATAATGAATTGTTATGGACATCGAGCTAAGCTGCCCAACAGCTTCGCATTTCCGAAACGCCCACAAGGAAAAAGGAAAAACATGAAAATCAACAAGAGAAGAAAAAAAAAAAATAACTGAAGAAAAACTAAAGCAAAGCCAAAATATTTAGCGGCAGGCAAATGTCGTGCGACGTTTTTGGTTTTGGGAAGCTTTTGAGGAATTATGTTTATTTTTATTTTTGGTAAATTTTGTTTTTCCTTTTCTGTTTGTTGTGGGAGTTGCAATTGGAGTTGAGATTGAGGTTGAGGCAGCAGTGATTTATCACTCGAATGGCAAGAGCGAAAGGTTGCCATAAAAAATGTTGCTAAACAAATGTTGACGCAGCAGCCAGCCAGCCAATTGGTTGAGTTGTTGGTAAAAGTTTTTCTTTATGGTTCAGTTTTCTGCCTGCCGTCGCATTATGCAATTGTGCGCCCAGTGCTAATAAAAATCAGTTAAAAATTTTCATTTGTTTGTCATTTGTCAGACGAAAGAAGAAAAATTAAATGGAGTGTAACTTGTTTTGGCTACATTCGATTTTCAGCTTTGCGCACATTTGCACAGCATTTTTGCCATATTTGTTTTTAACACGCATTTCACGCTTTTCCCATTGCAGAAAGTGAATTGAAAGGCAACATTTCGATTCGAGTGGAGCCAACAACAACAACAGCAACAACAACAACGAGAGCCACATTTTGGTCAGTTTTCACACTTGGAAGTTTCTGTGAGTTTTTGTTTGTAATTTACTTTTAATACGCCTTGTTGTCTTGCGAGCCACAATGGGGCTTAGCTAATGGTTAAATGATTTTGTTTCGTTTTGGTTTTTGATGCACAATGTACTTGACATTGAATGTGGTTGGCTGAAAAGGTGTCGTTTTTCTGTGGATAACTGGGCATTTGGGTCAAGGCAACTCGAAATGGGCTTTATTGAGTTAACAAATTTGAGTTCAAGTGAGAATATTTGTCGTATGAGCTCGATCTGATAGGAAGTTGACTGTTGAGAGGGTTGTTTAATAATCGTCTAAGTTTTTGGGAATGTGCTTGTCAAGTCAATAAATTATCTTAAGCTGGGAACGATTTTTTTATTTTTGCAATTATAGGATATGCAAACAAACAACTTAAGAAACAAAGTACAACAGAAGATTTCTTCTCTCTTTTCTCTCTCTAGCACCCTATGCAAGAGTGTACCTTTCTCTACCTCTGCTTCTCTGACTAACTCTAAACATACGTATATTTTCTCTGTCTCTCTTTATCCCTCCCCTCTCTCTCTCTCTCTCTCTCTCTCTCTCTCTCTCTCTCTCTCTCTCTCTCTCTCTCTCTCTCTCTCTCTCTCTTTCTCTCTCTCTCTCTCTCTCTCTCTCTCTCTCTCTCTCTCTCTCTCTCTCTCTCTCTCTCTTTTGTACATAGAGATTTTTCTTCTCTCTTCCTCTATCTCTCTGTAGTTCTCTCTTTGTTCTCTCTCTGTTCTGCCATATCTGTGTCTCTCCCTTTGTTGTTTTCTCTTCCTTTTTTTCTCCATATTGACAACCTATATATAGTATGTCTTTTCTCTCTCTCTCATTATACTCCCCCCCCCCCTCCCCACTTTATTTCTCCTTCTTTCTTTTTAACACTCTCTTCTCGCTTCAAATCAATACAACTAAATCGTTAGCTTCCATATTTCTTGCCCTGGTTTATCAGTTCACTCGTATTTCTTTTCCAACTTAATGATATTTGACATTTCCCAAAGAGAAGAAAAAAAAACACACACACACAGAGAGAGGAAGGGGGGGAGAGAGACACATTCCACCAGTAGCCTAATTAGCTCTGTCTTTCGTTCGTTTTCTGTTCCATAATTTATGCCCGCATGCTGCCGCCTGCATAGAAACCGCTAATTTGGTAGCTTGTTTTGGACTTGGTTCGGGAGTTATTTACAGCCGCGCCACCTGTCGTCGGATCATAACAAACGACTTCCCTATGGACAGAGAAACCGTGGCGAGCGGGTGTATGGGCGTGGCCAATATCTGTGGCTGCCAATTTGGGAACTAGCTGGTTGACTAGCTCTTTTTCGTTTTTATTTTTTTTTTCTTAGCCGATATTCCCCAAATAGACCCCAAAAGGGGCGCAGAACAAAGAAAAAGTTGTTCGAGCCACAAAACACGACACATTTATCATATGACTGGAAAATGGGCACCCACAATGTTTATAAGTTGTAGACAAATTTGTTGGTCAACCAGAAAAAAAATATAACTTGTCGATTAGCAAGCACTTTGCCAAAGGGGAGCGGTTGGGAGGAGGGGATAGGGGCTGGTTGCAGTCAGGTGCTCGTTTGGGGCGGGAACGTGTCGTGTGTTTGCATGTGTTCAACATTTTGTCCACACTGAACGATAACTTTCGTTTTTGTGGTCCATGGGGCCAATTCTCTAATTGCTCTGCACCAACAGCTAAAAACTCGCCTTTTGTCTGTGTCACCAGTTGTTTGTTAGCCCCCCCCAAACCCCCTCTCCCCCTCCTCTCTCTGTGCCGCCCTGCTGCACTGGCCTTTTCATTTGGCTTTTCTCGCTTGCTCGCTCTGCTCTGCTCTGCTCGTGTCCATGTTCCATGTCGCCGTATAACGTCTGGCAGCCACCTTCCCACCTTTTGGGGTACACATATTTTTACAGTCGTATCTCCCCTTTGGCTTCTGCTCCTGCCTTTTCATGTTATGTTGCATGTGTGTTGCAGAGGCTGGCAACGACTGTGGCTAAAGAATTCGCAATGTTTTCATTTTCAGTTGACATTTGGCACATGTTTTTCTTCTCTTTTGGTTTTTTTCCCTCTGATATACCCTACACGGCGTTGGCTGAGCTTAAGAGTTATGCATGGTTTCATGTTCGACCATGACAAAAATGTGAAAATAACTTTCCAAATATAGATAATAAAAGGGAAACAATTAAAGTAAATTACTCGAGATGTTTGATTGCTGAGAAAGAATAAATGCATTAATAAAAGAGAAAAAATACATAATAAATAATTATAAAAATTCTTTATAAAAACAAATTACAAAATATTTTTAAAATTATTAAAAATACGCAATGATGAGAAAACAAAAGAATAGTCGTACTCAAACTGAAAACAATATTTTTATTTGAATCATCAAAAATATTGTTGCATATTTTGGTATTTTTTGTATGCTTTCGGTAATGTTACCAGAATTATGTCGATTGCGACCAATTATTTTTATATTTTTATTTAAATATATTGAATTGAATTGTAACAAAAGTGAGAGCCAAGAAAACCAGAACATGGGTGCACATAAACCCTGACACATGAACCCTGAGTCGAGGCATTGGTTCGATTCGTAAACGAAGGCTTTTGCAGGCTCGTTTACTCTATTATATTATTATTATATATTCCCCACATTGAAGAGCATTCTTCCGCTGACCAAAACGCGCTCGAGCGACCACAAATAAAAAAAAAAAAATTAACAATTCATTGTCTAGGCGGATAACTGCTGCCCCCCACTCTCGTTCTGTTGGACCGCTCCGCTTATCTAGGTGGGCCACAAGTTGTCGTTGCTGTTGTTGTTGTTGTTGTTGTTGCTTGGTTGGTTAGTTTGTGGTCGCTTTGTGGCCGAGGTTGACATGCCGCTTGAACCCACTAAAATGCCCGCACAACACGCCGCGCTACTCTAACCCTGGCGAAAAAAACTCTCCTGCGAGCTGCAAAAAGGTTTCATTTTTGATTGCACTGAATTTTGGATCGTGTTGCTGTTGTTGTTGATGTTGTTGTTGTTTTTACAAGTCAATATGGTTATTGTTATTGTCACTGGCGCATTGCCTGCAATTTGGCCATTTGGCAACGACAAACGGCAACTGTTGCTGCTGCTGCTGCTGCCGCGGCGACAACTTCACGTGTGCCCAACTCTGTGCAACATGTTGCCAGGCAGTTAACAATTCATTAGGTGTTGCATTGCCTGTTGCTGTTGTTGTTGCTGCCGCCTGACTGCTTGGCTGCTGGCTAACAATTTATGGCATGTTGCCGCGGGGCCAGCTTGATGCAGTTGGTCAACTTGGCCAAATGCGTCGCAAACGTTTCTTGGAAGAATTACCACAGATAGAATGATAATTTATGCAATATGTATTTTCGAACGGTCGCTCTGGAATGTGGTCTCGTCTCTTTCGCGTCTCTCATAAATAGTCGTAGCCTCTTGTTGTTGTTTTTGTTGTCAACCTCTACACACGGTCGACGTTTTGTCTAGTTTGACTTAAACACAAAAAAAAAAATAGTTGACGGCTTAGTCACGGTTATTATTAATTAACCTTGTTGAGGTATTATCATTTTGTCACGAAACGTGTGACATTTTGGGAACTTGTGAGGCATTTCTGTCGACATAGAGGACACTTTGGAAGCACGCAAAGAAGTACGTTCCGGTTGGGCAGGGTGCAGGAAAAATTCATAGAACAAAATTAGGAGAAATATTGAATTATATGTTATACATATTTTATATATTTGTGGACAATCTCTCTCTCTCTCTGTTTTTGTATGCTTTATAGTTTCTAGGGCGAATCGGGTGACTATTTAAAACTGTCGGATCGAACCAGGCCCCAGCTCTTTTCTATATCTGCTACAGTTTTCCACGTATTTTTCGATTGCATTTACTTTTAATGCAGAACTTTTCTTCTAAGAGGAAAGTACGAAATTAATGAAAAGCGAATACAATGCCTCGATGTCTAATTCCGTTTAATAGTTTATTTAGATGGAGTTTTTTTATTGTTTTAATGATTTTTAAAGATGCTTTGAATGCAGTTTCCACTCATTTTCCACGCCTGTGTATGGAATTCCTATGTGCCTGAGATCTCTTTGCCCATTATGCCCAGTCAATAAAAGTTAAAGAGTATTTGTTAACGCATTCGTTTTAGTTGTTTCCTTGATGACTCAGTTGTAGATTGGTTTCAAGTTAAATAAATTGAACAATTTTTAAAAAAGTAACAGCTATGTACATTTATGTCAATATATACAAGTATATATAGAGATGAGCTTTGCACAGCAGAGTTACGTTTGCTATTGATTGGATTCGATGTCGTATCTTATCTTAAGCCAATAAATACGCGCACCCAAAGGTGGCCTAGTTAGGCCCAGTCAATTTAAGTGGCCACACAATGGCTCACATTTATGTGAGTTTATTTGCTTTAATTGGCCGCGAGAACATTCGAAATGTGTGCAGAGCTAAAGAACTTATATGCATGCTACACATGACATTAGCTAACATCCGGTGGGGATATAAGGCAACATTAAGATAATAATGCCAGATCAAAGATCTTGTAAAGAAAAAAAAAAAAACGAAAGTTTGTTTTCATTTTCATTCAATATGCCTCCGTTGTGAGTTCTATTGTGAGATTTTCTTTTATTTTTATTTCGTTTTTTGTGTGTGTTGGAATGTTTTGGCAGATTTACGAGCTTATCGCGGTGCTTGGCATAGTTAAATAGATGACAACACCGTCTGCCTGCTCCTAACTCTTCTGTAATATTTGTTTGCTTTGCTTTCTGAAAAATCGGACTTCATTGTGGCTTTTAGACAAATATTTGCTGTCATCTTTTTTTTTGTAGTTTTTATGTATTTTTCTGCTTCTGCCGCTCTTTAACTTTAGCTTTGTGCTCTTTTATTTTTTGTTGTTTCTTAATTGCGACGGCGTGTGTGTTTCGGGTCTATGCGTTATTATTATTTTATTTAGTTTTTGTGTGTGCCATGTGTGCCGCGTGTTT